ATGGTAGCCTTAAGTTTGCCAGAAAATTGAGCCTTTGGAACATCTCATTGCAAGCCTTGCAATTTATCTACTAAATAGTCTAATTGATTTTCTGCTAGGTTAATCAATATATTTCCCATTGCAGTCATAAAGTTTTATTTACTTCAGGAGATGGGAATTGGCTGGTTCATTTTTTTTTAATTATTTATAAAATTTGTTAAACTATCAGAGAGTTAAGCCAATGTGTCTTTCCTTTGTGCTATCACAAACAGGCATCCGGTCGGCTTAGTGGTGAATCTATTTTGCTGCAGTTATATGTAAATATCCTGTCCTCAACCCTGAGCTTCCTGAAGAAAGGAACACTGATTTTTCATTCCTATGTCCCCAACACTCAGAACAATATTTTGAGTAGATATTCAATAACTTCTAATTAAATGGATGCATAAATTAATGAAAAAATATAATATTCTCAGATCAAAAATATGTTTCTGTGGAGGGAGAAATGTTTTTTAAAATGTACTCATGAAATTATTGGAATGTTGTTGTGAGGAGCCTATTGTGATGTTGTAGCATGATCTGATAGCTCTTATACTTTCTGCAGAAAATTGGTCATAATATTAGTTGCATTAGTCAAGATTTCCTTGTTGCTACTCACAGAACATCTTATTTAAATGTTTTAAGGAAAGGAGAAATTTATTAGCTCACAGAACTCACAAAATCTGAGGGATAAATTCTGGCTTCAAAATGACTGAAAAAAGCACAAATTAAGTTTTTTAAAAACGATCATTTCTACCTCCCAGTTCTAGGTTATCTTCTTTCTCAGGCTGACTTTCTCTGTGTGGTTGCAAATGCCACTACCAGCTCCAGATTTATGCCCTACCACCTTCAAGCCCAACAGAAAGAGGACATCTTTACCTAAGAGTTCTAAAAGAAATGTGTTCTGGAATTGAGTTTCAACCCCAGGTGGCCTCACCTAGGTTACTCGCTCATCCCATGGACATGGGAATGGGAGGCCCTGATTGTCCAGGCCTGAGCCACAAGACCATCCCTAGATCAGGAATAGTGTCAAACCTAACTTAACTCCACCTGTGCTGAGATGGAAGAAGAGGTGGTGCCCTCAAAAGAATTATAGCATAGATACCAGAGGAGAGGAAAGGGAAGGACACTGGAAAGGCAACACAGCACATATCCCCTTAGTGCTTGAAGCAGCCCTGTAGTGCATGTCCATAGCAACCTGTACTGCAAATTGGAGAAGAGTGATTGCTGTGAGGAATTGGCAACCTTGTGAGATAGCTATCATAGAATCACACTCATCCCCCAATTTGCTTCATGGAGCAAGCTTGGGTATTCTTTAGGGACAAGTCGTGCCTGAGATAAATTAAACATGCTAGTAGAACTGCTATGAAAATTGGTAAGATCTTTCTGGAAAGCAATATTGAAATATGAAAAAAGAGCTTTAAAATATTTGTACTCTTTGATCAAGTAATTCCATGTCTTGGAATCTGTCATTCAAAAAAAAAAAGTCAAAATATATTGAAAACTTCCTGAATAAAGATGATCATTGTAGTGTTATTTAGATTGTCTAAAAGCTGTGGTACATTTATGCAATGGAATACTACACAGCTATAAAAAAGAAGGAACTCTTACCCTTTGCAACAGCATGGATGGACCTGGAGATTATTATGCTAAATGAAATAAACCAGTCAGAGAAAGACAAGTGCCATATGTCTCACTAATGTGTGAAATCTAATGAACAAAATAAACTAACAAAATAGAACCAGAGGCATGGATGCATGGAACAGACTGACAGATGTCAGAGTGGAGGAGAGAGGGGAGGGGAGTGGGGAGAACTGGGTAAAAGAAGGTGAAGAGATTAGCTAAAGAACATATATGCATAGCCCATGGACACAGACAAGTGTGGTGAAAGCCAGAAAAGAGGGTAGGGGGCGGTGCTGGGACTGGGTGGAGGTGGGCAAAGGGGAGTAAAATGGGGGTCATCTGTAATAGTGGCAACAATAAATAAAAAATTTAAAAAACTAGAAATAACTTCTAAATTCTAATAATAGAAGATTAAGTTAATTATAAATTAGCATATTATATTTTATGCAACCCTTAAAGTAATGTCAAGGAATTATATTGATAAATGATATTACATGGAGAAAATGACATTAAGTTTATTATAATCTCTTGAATATCAGAAAAAAGCCTACATAATTTCTTATTTTTATGGTTACGTGCTTCCCAAAATATGCAATATATTATTACAAAAGTAAAAAAGTCATACAAGAAATTAGAACTGAGTAGTGATTAGTGTGTCTAGAGACACTTGGGGAAAATTTTGAAGATGGTCCAATTTATTGGTTTCATTATCCTCCAGCTATAAAATTTATGGCAAATAGTAAATCCAGTTCAACTTGTCAATGATAAGTAGAAAGTCACTTACATTAGGCTGATGGTTTTCCAGCTTCGACTTGAGAGTAGATGACATTTCAGGAGCCTTCACAGAGAGGTGCCAACTGAATCAGGCAGAACCAGAATTACCCAGAGCTTGGCTTGGTGCTAAATTCTGTTTGCACTCAGCAATGAGAGAATTCTGTGACCTTCCATCCTGGTGGAGCTCATTTCACAAAATACAGGGTGTCCCCCCAAACTGTATACACACTTTAACAGCTGATAGCTCAATTTTGAAAATGAAATGTATTTTCATAAACACTACCTTTATAATTACCCAAAATATGTGTATACATTTGGGGGAACACCCTATGTATGTGTATCCAATTGTCAGGCCTTAAACTTAAACGATGTTACAATAAAGTTGGAGGGTACATTGTGAGTAACCTGTTCAGGGAGTGTATCAGCATCCCATTCATCTACTAGAGTTTAGAATGTAGAGCCTTCCAACCATCCAACAGAACTACTGCTCCTTAAGATAGGAGCTCAGAAGTCTTAGTTAAGAAACAACCAAGTAAAGGTTCCCTGGGGAGCAAACAGCTTGCTACCCTTTAAGAATACTTAAAAGATTGGGAGACAGTGAGCACTGAGCTAGCAAAAATCCCCATGTTAACTTTTAGCTTTAGAAGGAAATTATAGATCCCCTTTGTGTTTTTGTTCTTTGCTTATCATGGTATTTCTTAATTATTGGTTGGAATAAGCAATGGTTTTGAAGCCGTTATACTGGTAGGACTTTTGCAACTGGTAGGACCTTAGATTAAAAAAAAAATAAAGTTCTTTTATTTTGTTATTGAAGGTGGTTCAACTTGAACTCTCTGGGTGAGTGATTAAGATACCAATCCAAACTGGTTTAAGCAAATAAGAAAAATTAATGCCCTAATTAGCTGGAAGTCCAAAGGTAAGACTGGCTTCAGGCATGGCATGACGGAGTGTCTCCAGAGCAATCACTTCTATCAGGATATGGCTGGCTTCATTCTCAGGTAGACATCCCTCAACCCACCTCTGCTATGGCATGAGATGGCTCATCTAGCTCCTGGGATAAATGCTTCCACAGGGAAACAGGGCTTCCTTCTCTCATCTGTCAAGCACACGGCCTGTGCCTGACTAGTCATTATGCCCCTGGCTTGGCATGCACGTATTGATTTCTTCTAATCAGGGCTCATTCCAAAAGTTGGCCAGATGGATGGTGGGAAAAGTCAATCCAACCCACACTACATGGGCAGAGAATAAGTGACCAGAAGGTCCCCATAGGAAATGTGGAAGCTGCCTTCCCAGAATGGTGTCCTAGTTGACCAAGACAGGCAAATCCACCACAGAAGGCAATTTTATTTTTTTTATTTTTATTTATTTATTTTATTTTATTTTATTTTATTGGATTTATTGGGGTGGCATTGGTTAATAAACTTTATATAGGTTTCAGGTATACAATTCTGTAACACATCATCTGTGTATTACATAGTGTGTTCACCACCCAAATCAATCCTCCTTCTATTACCATTTATCCCCCTTTACCCTTTTCTACCTCCCCCACCCTCCTTTCCCCCTGGTAATCACCATACTGTTGTCTGTATCTAACTGAAATAAACAAGTCAGAGAAAGACAAGTACCATATGATTTCAATTAAATATGGAACTCAGTGAACAAAGTAAACTAACAAACAAAATAGAAACAGACTCACAGACACAGAGAATAGACTGACAGCTGTCAGAGGGGAGGAGTGTTTGGAGGCTGGGTGAAAAGGTAAAGGAATTAAGAAAGAAAAACAGAAAAAAATGTGAATGCAGGCTTGGTTGCTTTCCACCCACTGCACTCTTCTTCATCTTGGGATCAGGGCCACTTAGTTGTTCTGAATGATTAAATAGGGTAGCAAAATATCTGTCAAATATTCAAATGAAAAACTTGTGTACATTGAAAAACAATAATGCAATATTGCCATGATTAACTTATCAGATCATGGTACAATTACAATGCATCTCCCAAATTTAACATAACACCAAAAACTTAATGACTAAAATTGACATGAAAGAAGTGCAGTACAAGTGACTATAAACTTCAGTTGGTATTTTTTCACCTGTAACATGGGAACAACAAATGTGGTTTAGCACGCTTGTTGGCAAGATTAACAATGATTTCTGAAAAGTATAGGAATTCAATGCCAGGCCCATCCTATTGTTCAGTAAGCATGAGTTCCTAATGCTGCTATCTTTGTCCTAAATCTCATTTTGAGGTCAGTTTCATGAGTTTGCCATGAAATGAAATGTGTGGGCATAAATATCAAACATGCAATGTATACCCAAACTCAGAAACGCAACAATTTGGAATGTGTCAAAAGTTCCCTTAAAGAAGAACAGAAAATAGATGCTACCCCACAGCCAACTCCAGTCTATGGATAGTGACTACCTCCTTTTGGAGAGAATCCAAGGGGTATTTATACACCACAGGTACAAATGCTGTAACTGATTAAAGATGCCCGTCCTCGATGGAGGAGGCCACAGAGGCAGCTCAAGCAATATGCTTGCTACCTACTTGAATCTAAATACCATCTTCTCTGCTGTGATTTTGCTTTGTAGACTATGGAAAATCCCAAGTATGAGTTGATCATCGAGGCTCAAGATATGGTTGGACAGCTTTATGGATTACTAGGCACAGCCACAGCGACAATCCTGATTGATGACAAAAATGACCACTCACCAGAATTCACCAAGAAAGAGGTAAGTAAGCCTCTGCTAACACTACCCTTGCGGTCACAGCCATGATTGCTGATCAATATTAAATTCTTTGTACACAGCCCCTGCTGGCTCCCTGTTTGCAAAATCAAAACCCTCCCTTTTGGAGAAAGGATTATGTTATGCCAGAATACTATTTCATATTTTTATCTTTTTTTTTTGCAAAGCTGGAAATACCAGAGCATTATGAGAACAAAAGCATTGAATCTTGTTAAAGTCTGTGAGAAAATAACTTTCAATGCCAAAATGCCATTTTCGTAGTTTTATCGGTGCTATTTAGCCGTGAGTGATGTGAGTCCCATTGTGATTTTAGCATAACAATAACTATTTTTTTCAGCAAGTATAGATCCAGAGACCAGACAGAACAGCTGCAAAAGGGTAAAGCAGATTTTCTTGGCAATAGCAAGGTGGCCTAGAAGCTTATAAATAACAACCGAGTTGGCTTGTCTGGGAGAGCCATTATTTACTCTGGGCTCCTATGCTTTTATGATTATGGATCATGGGTGTTGTTTCCCATTATTTCAAAGGAGCAATTTTTGGGGACAGGCTGAGTACACAAAATTACATTCTCAGTTGCTGAATTTGTATCAACTATGCATCTAATGGAAATGTGCTAAGATCATGGTTTCTTTGCGGGTCATGGCCAGGGCAAAGGATTGGACACCCCTCTTACTGACCAAGAGCATAGAATCAATGAAGGCAGCCCTGCCATCCATCGGCCAAGCCTTTCCTCTGCATCCCCCTCCCCACAGGCTCTCCACCTCCCATCCATTGCCTTATTAAACTGTGTAAGGTTAATTTCATTGACCTTTGACCAATGCGGGAGCTTATTTTAGGCTCAGAGAATCTGCTCCAAGGTCCTGGGCTGAGTAAACAGCAGAAATGGGATATGAGCCCAGCTCCACAGGAGCCATGATCCCAACTGCAGTGCTGTGCTTCCCATCTGCCCTGAGGTCCCCACCCTCCCAGGCATTCAGAGAAAAGACCCAGGTCTGCATTTGCAGTTGCCCCTCCCCTCTCTCAAGAATCCAGGGACTATCCCAGCTCCTGGCTCCCCAGTGACCTCTCCTACTGCAGCCCTGCATGACTCATTCCAGAGGAGGAAATAGCCCTCTCCTAGTCTTGGGCACTCAGGACTCCAGCCTCAAACAGCAAAGTCCATAGTAGCTGATGGCTCCATTCTATTGCTCCCATGCAGTGTTCCTGTAACTGCATACAGATTGCACATTTCCCCAGGTTTCTCAAACTGGTGTTCCAAGAAATTTGTTCCACTAGTTACACCATTGTAGGGCAGGGGGTGAGGGGAGCTTTCAGGGTCAAACAGATGTGGGGAATACTGAGTTGAATCCTTTAAAAAATTTCTTTTACCGCATGACTTCTGGGTAGCTTTTAAATGCTGTGTGCTTCTCTAAGAGAGGTTGGTTTGGGCTGTAGGCTTTCTCAGATTTATTTGGCCTGGGAATAATTTTTCCTGGGCCACCTCATCATGTCCCATTGAACTAATGGCCCATGGAATATTCACCGGGAATATTGGTTTATCTGCAGAATTTCTGGTGAACCTATTTCAAAAACAGAGTTCAAGGCACATTGTAATTATATATATATAGTAATGAAAATATACTATTATATATATATATAGTAATGAAAATAGAAATTGGATAATCCAAACCTAAAATAAGAAAACCTATCAAAGTTATGAGGTGAGTGAGATTAATTAGTTATTTCAAAGAGGCTCCTGTGACTGGGGTGGGGGGTGGTGTGCGTGGTCATGGACTAAATATTGTGAGAAATTATTTTTCATTGTTTGTTTTTGTTAATACCACTGAATTCAAGAAAAAAATTAACATCTCTAAATGTAAAGTAAAAAACCCTGAGCAGCATAATGGAAAATATATTCTTCTCCTATGAATATTGACAAAAGCACAAAAATTCTCTTCAAATAGACAGTGGGCAGTGAGCTTGAGATTCCCTCAGGGCAGGGCTGGTGTTCAACTCAGATAGAGATATGAGTAATAAGGCCCTAGCCGGGTAGCTAAGTTGGTTAGAGCTAAGGTTGCCGGTTCGATCCCCACCTGGGCACATACAAGAAGCAACTAATTGCATAAATAAATAGAACAACAAATCAATGTTTCTCTCTCCCCCCTTTCTTCTCTCTCTCTAAAAATCAATTTTAAAAAAGAGACATAAGTAATAAAATGAGAGGAATGGGTAGCTAGAAGGAGCATCAAACTCTTCTCTCTCTCTCTCTCTCTCTCTCTCTCTCTCTCTCTCTCTCTCTCTCTCTCTTACATACATGTCCCAAAGGACTCTTTGTCCAATGTTGGATAAAGTAAATTTGCAGTTAAATTTTCTAACATGTTCCTGAAAGGCTGTGGTTGTTGTTGAGGAGGGATGCCAGAATTCCTGGAGGCAGTGTAACAAAGATGTAGAGGGGTGGGCTCTTGGACCAGACCTGGATTTGAATCCTACTGACCATACACAAGAGACGAGAACATTAACTGTTTACATTCTCATTAGGGTCTTGTGAATGTTAAATGAGCCAACAATGAAAAACACTTAGATAGTGCTGGTCATCTTGTATTGTATTGGTGATGAGGACAGAGGTAATAAAAACGGTGGCAATTCAGAAATGAGGACAGTGGAATAAAGGAGGTGATGAAGAAGATGGTGATGAAGAAGGTGATGGTGAGGAAGACAGTGGTGGCAAGATGATGACAATGTTTCTAAAATTTAAGAGGCCAACTGACATTCTTATGGAGGCCCATTTCACCTCCATGTTGAAAGTAAACTTTTTTCTTTTAAGTAATCTTTTTCCTTTAAAATCATCTGTGAACCTGCTCCAGCATATCAGAATACATGACTAGGACCCTAGAGTTCTAAGGGAGAAGGAACCCTGGAGGAGAGGTGGCAGAATCTGTAAAATGCATCACTATGAATGAAAGCAGGAAGGCCCAGAGAAACCTGCGAGAGGGAAAAAGAGAACTGAGCAGGACTCGGCCCAGCTGGTCTCTGGGATGCGGAAGAGTAAATATGAGGTGTACTGGCAACAGAGAGGAGATATGGAACTTACGATCTTGAAATTAAACCATTTTTAGAGATGAAGTTCAAGGTGCAGTCATTCTAGAATGGAAATGGTGGCCATTTGGGGTTGAGGGTGTCTAGAAAGCTGTGCAAGATGTTGTCTTATATAAGTTCTTACATGTATTAGGTCATTTCTAAGGAAATTCATGGGAATATATGGTGGTTGTCTTTTTTTAAATTCTATTTCACATGATCTTCCATCTCCAGAGAAATGCATGTTTTCATCTAGAGTATTGGTGAGATTGGTTTAAAAGAGAAGTTATGGTTCCTCAAATAATAGAGACTGGAACTGACACTCTGTTAAATGAGATAGAGGGATAGCTTATTTTACATGAATACATGTTGGTAGACAGTTCCCGGTCAATATGGTGGCAGCATGACATTGAGTTTCCCAGATTCCTCTTATCTTTGTTGTCTGCCTTCTCCATGGCTGCCTCGTGGTACGATAGGGTCACTGCAGCACCAGCCCTCGTGTCCATATAACAGGAAGAATGAAACAAGACGTGAGAAGGACAAAGGAAGGCCTGCCACCTAAGTAAATGTCATTTAAAGGCTTCCCCTGAAACTCAAATGACTTCTATTTACATCTCCTTAGCTTCCCTTGTCTGTAAGGGAGACTGAGAAATAACTCCAACTTTTCTTAGTTGGCATGTTGCAGCCCTTGATAACATAGGGGTTGTTACTAAGGAAGGGGATATTTTAAAGATTACTTTAAAGAGTAAATTTTTAGTGCAAAGTACACTCATTTGTTGTTGCCCTAGTGTTTATTTAAACTGATTGTAAGCTTGCTGAGAAGCACAGCCCACACCTCTTATTCTCTGTTGCATTCCCAGTGGACACTCAAAAATTCAGTATTTTCCAAATGTTTCCTGAAGAGAATTTTAACTTGGGAACTGTGTCATTGGGTATGATGAACCAAGGTCATACTTAAAATTGCTACTGATCCGTGGAAATCAATTTTTAGTCATTGACTTTCAAAAAAATGTGGGTTGGAAGCATTAGTCTCCCCATGGAGAATCTTCTGTGAGTTGTTCTAATAGTTTTTAACACATAGCTTTAACTAAGTGTTAGTTTTGACTTTTCTGGAATGGTTATTTTGAAATGATTTTAGGGAATCTAGTTAAACTCTCCAAACTCAGAGTTTGAATTACAGCTCAGAATCTCGCTCCCATTTAGAACAAAGTGACTTGTCCATTCCTCTCCCTAAAGTTATTTAAACACACACACACGCACACACACACACACATACACACACACACACACACACACACACTCTTCTGGCCCTCGCCTGTGTGGCTCAGTTGGTTGGAGGGTCGTCCCATACACCAAAAGGTTGCCAGGTCAATTCCTGGTCAGGACAGATACTCAGGTTTTGTGCTTGATCCCTGGTGGGGAGCGTGCAGAAAGCAGCTTATTGATGTCCCTCTCACATAGATGTTTCTCTTTCTCCCTCTCCCTTCCTCTCTCTCTAAAAATCAGTCTTTAAAAAAACACTTCTGATTTGCACCTAGAACATAGTTGATGCTCAATAAATACTGACTGAATAACACATATTTTCACATGAATTTCTAAACTGTAGATCATGAGGATTAAAAAATTTCCTATTAATTTTAAAAGAATATGCTTGCAAATGATTTTAAGATGTTTTTTAAAGACATTGAGTTTTTCTTCATCCATTCCATCAATTGATTTTTCAGATTTTAAAAACTTAAAATGGCAACCAGTAATTTAGACTTAATAATTTAGGATTTTATTTTACTTTATTTTATTTTTGCCATTTGATGAATTCTTTCTAAGGTAAAAGTTTCAATGTGTGAGCTATAACATTATAATACCTGTAATAAAAATGGCATAAAACTTGAAAGGGCCTGTCCTCCAGCTGGAAGATGAGAGGTGAGTGGGTA